AGTGCTCCAGCTGCGCTCGGTGGAGTCATTTGCTTACATTTGGGTCACACACCACCAGCTGCTAGTATCTCCTCCTTTGTAGCCTGGGTGTACTCGATGATGTGTTTTTGCCTCAAGTGATGAAACAAGTCTGTTATTTCTACATTTAGCTGGAACAGTTTTCTTGCATATTGTGCTTTGTTGGAGGTCTTTTAGCTACATTTTTTAAAATTGGGATAATGTTGAAAATCTGAAGCTACTTTTTGTGTTTGCATTTCCACTGTGCTTTATAGACAGCTGCATACTCGGTGTTGTACCTCTTTCGAAGATAAAGGCAGTTTGAGCCAAAACAAAATTCAAATTTGCCTGCTTCCTGTTATGTGTAGACACACCACTGGTTCATCAACTGAGTTAGGTTAATTTTCTTGAATAATTCATAGGTCAGTGTTAAGCGGCATAACAAACAAACATTCAGGTAGATGGGGGCAGCTGTGGCTCAGGTGGCAGAGCGGGTTGTCTACCAATTGGAAAGTCGCTAGAGAAAAGTACTGTATGAATGTGTGTGTGTGATTGGATGAATGAGACATGCAGTAGAAAATTAATTGAGCTGAAAGCCACTATAAATACCAGCTCGTTTACAAGTACTGCAATTTAACCCAGAAAATTATGCTTCATGTAAGCTAAGTCTTACTTGTTGGGTGCATATATAATTTTTCTAAAAAAAGTTGTATAAATAAGTAAATAATAATAATAAAAATAGTAATAATGATATATTACCAAAGTGTCTGCTAAACTTTATTTCACTGACATCAGTGTTTGAATTATTCTTGACTTACGCTACACACAACTCCAAAGGGCACATCCTAAATATAGACTTTATAAAGAATCATACTTCAAAAACATTTTTTTGTCCAGAAAATATGGTGGACAATTCAATTATATTCTAAATTATATGTAAAAAGCTGCATAAGCACACAATTAATGTCCCAACAACATTAAAGTCAAAAATATAAAACACTGACTGGGATGTTTACAACAACGAATACATCTGAAAATAACATAAATTGTCAGGGGTCAGATTTCATATTTTACAGTCTGTAAAAAATAAAACACATAAAACATTGTGCTGTTAAAACTAAGACCTGCCCGTGGGTTAATAACAGTGAAATTTTGCTTACTCAGTAGACGGAGTGGAATAAGGTTTAACAGCAGACTGAGGACGTGGGACCCCCGAGCTACTGTATGGCCTCCATAACCTGCAAGTGAACTGCAAAAAACACAACACAACACCGGAAATGACATGACCGGCCTCACAGACATACAGGCAACAACAAGCTAAAATAACGCAGTCTTGCTTATCCCTCATAAAACACACCTTCAGAAAAAAGTTTATAACTGAAATATCACTTTAAAGTTGCTCCACAATTTGGCTTCACCAATTAATGGGGGTCTTATTTGTTACCTTACCGGAAGTCCCATCTCAATCGGTCTAACTTTATCTTTTAGCTTCCGGGATGTCAAAGTAAAACCGTGTACGTTATAACAGATACGGCGGTGCATAGAGTAAAATAAAATGCCCAAATTAGCCTGAAACCTATTGTATTGAACGCGAAATTAATTGTAATTCCCCTCAAAATAACAGAGACGCCTTTGTTGCATTTTCTTTTAAAATTAGCGGGAACTACACCACGGACAAGTCAAGTGCAACACTAGCTAACAATTGAAACCCCGCAGCGACGGAATGACTGCCTGTTCATCACATTGTCCGAATACTCATCTTATTTAATGGCCAAGTGTTTTCTCTTAGAGTGTGTGCCGGTTCGTAGAAGAAAAACAACCATCAAACTCAGTGAAGCATCGCCGGAGGGGCTTCCATACTGACCCTACCTTCCTACAGCGTACGGATTAACAAATAACGTTATCCGTCCACAGATGCAGGCGATGCTGTTTGTAAACAAATAACCCTTCTTTCCATAAATGTGACAGTCAAGAGAAAAGCTCGCTCACCGCGTCCTGTTGTTCCGCTGCGAAAAGTTCAAGTATGATTTACTGTATTTCCATTTTAAAAAGTACTTCCTCTTCGTCCCAGTCTTCTTTAGTTCCACACTTTGCCGGACTCTGAAGCCCGGAAGTTCAGCCAATGAGCGCGGAGACCGAGCACTAAACTGTCCAATAGCAGGGATCAACCCGAAGGTCTCTTGTCCAATCAGAAATACGCAACCAGATCCAGTAAGCCAATTATAATCCAGTTTGTCTTCCTTATTATTCACAAAATGAAGAAATGTTTATCTTTGGGCGAGAAAGATGGCTTATAACCCACTGCGAGTGCGTATAATAGTGAGAAACACATTGTCTCGGTGATATAAGGTGTTTTGGTACAACTTCATGAAGATAGATGTAATTATTTAAAGAGGACACTTAAGGAAGACAAACATATTTCTTCATGAATACTATAGAATTCAGTATACCTGTTGTTTGCAACAAGGATTTGGAGCTGTTTGACCTAAGACTTTGCTTTAATATAATATAATATAATACAATATAATATAATATGATATAATATAATATAATATAATATAATATAAAAACCTAATGCTATAACTGGAGAAAATTGCTTTTTAAAATATAAAACAAAATAAAAAAAATAATCAAAATTTTACATATATGATTCTAAAAATGTGGTTTATAATTGAACTTATTTTCATTCACGAGGCGCAGATCTGATAATACAATTTAAAGTCCGAGATCTAAGACAAATATTTAATTATAAAATACTTATAGACATGTAGCTTAGCATAGTGTGTACAGGGCGCAGTACTGTACGATCCATTTGTTATTCTTTTTCAATTGCTCTTCCACTGCCAGCACTGTGCAGCTGCTCTGGCACCCCTATACTTAATTATGGTAGTGTGGTCAAATAGGCTGGGTTTGCATTTGTAAGACACTGTAATTCAGGGGTGTGATGGTGTAATTAAACCCCATACATAGGAGAAGGATCCCAATTTCTTCCCCAAAGTTCTCCTTTTTTTTGCTGGTGGGGTAATGTTGGAGCCGTGAACTAAACGTATAACGTCCTTGCAATGTTTAAAACATCAAATTTTTATCCTGTTCTGTTCATTGCTCTCGTTGTTCCCTGAACCTTTGGTGAAAAGTTATGAATGGCATGATGCACTCGTTCACTTAACTTATATTAACCATCCTCCAAGTATGATGGTGTTCCTGCAGGTATCCCCAGACATCCTCACCTTCTCAGCAGGTGGACGATGTAGCTGTTATACCGAGTAACCACAAGATGGCATCAAAGTGAGGCAGAAGGGCTCTAGAAGAAGGATTAACAAACAGTACCAAGTACTATAATAAAATACCACACAGAGAAAAATGTCCATTTTACATGTTTTTATTAAAGTTGCATAAAAGTGTAACAAAATTGGGCAAAAACAAGACCTGTTGTTGATATTGCTACATTTGTTGGTTGGTTTGTTGGTCTAATCATTGTCTTAAAAAAAAAAAAAATCTAAAGAACACCACTCCTCCAAATGGCATGGTTTAGCTCTTGTATTTAGCCTCAATGAAAATAATCAGTATATATATGGGTTTTTTTGCAATTTTCCCCAACAGTAAAAAAAAACAAAACAGACTTATCAATAACAGTCTACAAAGGTATAATAATCCAAACCTGGATTTAGCAATGAAAATCCACTCAAATTTCAGCTACTGATTGGACTTGCCTGGTAAAATCTGACCGATCAAAAATGTCCCAGCAGGGAAGGCAAAAGCAATCGCACCAAAATGCATCTGAGTGGATTTTTTCTTTTTTTTCAACAACTGTGTGTTAATCCAAGGCCGGGTGTCAAGAAGTGTCATGATCACGATAGAAACAGAGCAGTATTCAAATGGTAAATGCAAAGAACATCTTTTACCTAAACAAAAATCACTGTATCAAGGCCTAAGTATTAAACACTCACTTCTTTAAAAAAAAAAACAACAAATCAAAAAACAGAATCTCAGTTTGTTTTCCAGAAAAAGAAGAAAGAGTATATAAGGACCAACAGAAGATTCAAGATTTTTCCCCACACACTGCAGGTCTGCTCACACATGGCAGCAGCTTGCATTACCCTTTAAAAGAAAAATGTCTCCTGTTTATTTGGTTTGTGTAACATAAATAATACCTAAGGCAACATCTCTTTATAAAAAAACAAAAAATGAAAAAGAAAGGAAAAAGGGAGGGAGGAGAGAAGGGTGACTGTGGGATGATGGGATGAGGGAAGGCAAAAGAGAAAAGTGGGGGATGTGTGTACACATGTGCCTTTTGGCTCTACCAGAGAAAGAGGCAGACAGCGAAGGTCTGCTGTCACTGCAGGTGTTAGCAATCGGTCACAGGAACCACAGCGAAATCTCGCCGCTTCTCTTGTTAACCAATGGGCTTCGGTCTCTGATCTGATTGGCCCAGGATCAGAAACAGATGGCTTATTCTCTGAGAGGATTGGTAGCTGCACCGGGAGGATGGAGGGGGGCAGCGGTGGACTATGGCCTCGTCTCCCTCTCTCTCTGACTGTGCCTGGTGTTTGTGTGTGTGCACATCTGTGCTAGAGGCAGCTGTGTTTGCCGATGCGTTTCCGCTTCCTCCGCCCCGAGAAGCTGTGTGCGTGTGTGTGACAGAGAAAGAAAAATGCATGCTTTGATTTGAGCAATGTTAGCGGTGATTCCACTGGCATGTCAGGCAGAGGACAAATGTCAGAGATGTGGCTGCTCTGAACGCCCCCCCCCCCTCAAAAAAGTATAATGGTTTAGTCTAATAATGTTTTAGAAAAAAGGAGAAATTGTGAGAATGAGATGGAAGGGTTAGGGGCAGTGATTTAAAAAAAGGCAGCTTTGTTTTGGGACCCCTTGTTGGACTGTCAGTGTGTGTCCGTGTGACAAAAAATGCATCCAGGAAACAAAAACAGAACCCCCCCCCCAACCCCCAAACGAAACAGGAACCAGTCCTATACTAAAAATCTAATCTGTCATACAGAACAGCAGAATATACAGGCCCAAAAACACTCCTATGACAAATGTTGCTGTACATTATGTAGCAACACACACGTAGCATTTAGCGACACAGACATACGTTTGTATGTGCAGCGGCTTCTGAGGAGCCTCTCGTGACTGTTCTACGCATTTGAGGAAAAAGAAACTTTCTACTTTGACATCCAGCCTAAAGAGAACTTGCTTCCAAAGGATCAGTGTTTTTAAGCCCGTGACCACCAAAAACAAGCCGGTGACCCTTTCCAGGCTTCAAATTTCCCCTCTTTGCCGTGCTAAAGATACACTATAAATTATTCTTTGTGGTTCCGATTTTTCTTCCCCTCAAAATGACATAGTGCAGACTTCTCAAACACACAAACACACATGCGCACAAAAAAAAGACAGTCTCTAAATGCACCACTGCAGCAATGCCTCTGATTGAGGGGGATAACTAGCAAAAGACTGTACTGATCCCCGAAAGAGTTAATTAAAAAAAACTAAAGTGAAGCCCTCAAATTGAACCGGGAAGTATGGAAAGAATTATAATGGGCGGCTGGGTCAACTTTAAAACCCTCAAAAACAGCAACGTAAAGATCGGTGAGACAGAAGCGAGTTGATTGGCTTCTTCCTTCCTCTAACCCTCCTCCTCGTTCACCCTTCCGCTGTCTTTTTTGGCATCTGCGCTCTCTCGTTCTTCTTCTCGATCTCGGTCACTCTGCTCGCAGTAATTAGGGGACTCGTCTCCTCTTCCTCCTCAGACAGATGGAAGATGGTGTAGGGGTGGGTGGGGAGGAAGTAGAGCTGGATGGGAACGGGTAGCAGAGCCAAAAAAAGAAAAAAAAAGGTGGAGAGAGGGGTAGGAGTAGGAAAAGAGGAGGAAGGAGAATGCCTGGATTAAGACCAATGAGTCGCTTTTGAATTAATTCACTCTTTAATTTGTCTTTTTTCTCCCCTTCTTGGCTGATGGTTTTTATGAAGAAAGTCCAACAACATGACAACAAAAGAGAAAAGCGACATATGGGGCTGGATCCAGGCAACAACAAGAGAGGGTCTAACTAGAAGCAGAAACAAGTTGCAACATTTCATGAACTTTAATGGAAGAAAACAGACAAAAAAAGATTTAAAAAAATAGCGTGAGCTGTGGTAGGAAGACGAGAGGTGAGGGCTGAGGTGGAGGGGAATATGTAGGATGGAGGGAGAAAGGATGCCATCATTTCTTCTGAGGCGTGGAGAGCTTCTGCATCCCTCGGATCTTGTCGAGCAGCTCTGAGACGAAGTCCTACGGGGAGAGGGCAAGGACAGAAACACATGCGGGGACTCAGAATGACAAATACGCACATCAGAAATGTTCACTTGAAGAGGCAGAGGGAGTTTATGAGCAGGGGAGTGAAGAAGGACTATGTTTTACCTCAGTAGGTTTAAAACAGTCAACCAGCAAATCCTACAAAACAGGGAAAAACAGGATGAAATAACTGCTGTTTGCAGCCATCTTTCATGCTCTGAAACAGGTGCGCACGTGTGTCCTACCTTGACCCTGGCTGCCCGTTCAACATCACTGGGCATGTCGAGCAGTTCATCCACATCTATCTCCAGCTCAGGGATGGCCTCTTCCTATAGCACATGTAACAAAAGATGGAGAGAAGCAGAGCACCATCAGAGACCAAACATCCACCAGGCTTCCTTATAAAAATGCTAGAGAACCTCTTTCCACGAACACATGGAAAGAAGTCCTCATCCTGTCTATTCTTAGTGCCTGTGTTTATATTATGTGGTTGTCTGCAAATAGACCAGCAAGCGTAAGCATTTCTCTCTCTGTATGACGTGGTACAGTTATTGATGAGTGTCTGGCTGTGGACACTAGATGGCGTGGTTTTTCTCTTAGCCCAAAGCACATGGCAGAGACACGAGGAGACAAAGAGAGAAGAAAAACAGCACAGACAGGTTTCATTTTTTTTTTTTATCTTCTTGAATGAAAAAATAGTTTATTTTCAAGGTTGGAAAACTAAAAAAATAAAAGAATTATTAATCTGGTTAAAAGCTGTGCTTATTTGCTGTTACACAGAGAGCAATGATACTGTTTGGGGACTAGAAGCACCAGTGCGAAGGTATTTTACTTTTTGCCACACAAAATTATTAAAATGAATGGACTGACGTTTGTAGTTGGCTTTCATCCCACGAGTTACACGAGGAGACAGGGGTGCTCGTCTGCCAGCTATTTAGCTCAGTTTAGCAAAAACACAGCGAGGGGGTGGCATCGCATGTGTCCACTGTGTCAAGATTCACAAAGGCGAGGCGCTGCAGTGTTTTATTGTCTGTGGAGAGGGCCGAGCTAGCTCATTTCCCTTCATTTCTCAGGTTTACGTGTGCAAAAAAAAGCTATCCATCCATCTATAGCTTGGATGTTTGAGATCGAGTAAGAACAGGTGCATGTCCTAAAGCCAACACCTGAGAAGAAAGACATCTACAGACAGTTAGGATCCAGACGAGTTCCTGTTCCTAACAGGTCTTTAAAGAGTCCTCCTTCAAATCTGTTGTGCAAAACTGGAAACATTTATTTTAGAATAATTACTATTTACAGACAGCTCATTACTGAAAGCTAGGGTGCTAACTGCTGATGGCCACCCATGTTGTATTCATGTAAAAACCAGTTGAAAGTGGGAAATCTGCTCCTTTGAATCGGGAATTTTTACAGCTGCATTCACATTTAGAATACTTGTACTTTAAAGTAAAGTAACACATAAATTTAAATACACATTTATACACCTAATATAAGCCAATCAGTCATCGCCCAGCTTCATCAGGCTCACATCTAACGCCGAATTAGTCTTCAGGATAAAGAAAGCAGTTCGCGGCGAGTTCATCTTCGTCTCAGTTTCTCCTTATCCAATCAATTCTTTCTTCCGATTAATCTGTCGCACTATTAAAAAGCTTTATTAGTCCCCGTCTCTCCATCTGCCTCGCTCGCACACACTGGCTCAGTGTGCTCCAGCCAAGCTCTTCACCGCTGGCGACAAGAACACAGGCACGCACACTCGTACAAACACTCTGTGCCCCCCCGAGCTCTTTTGCAGCTCAATTGCTGCCCCTATATTCATGTCGTTCTCTAGGAATCTCTCCCTCGCTCTCGTCCTCCCCCTCGGTTAGAGTTGCCCACACCAGCTGTCTCTGCACCTGCCTGACTGCCCCTTATCCCGTCACACAAAACACACACAAGTCAGTCAGACTCACAACCACACATGGACAGGCAAAACATGCTGTGTGGGCACATTAACAAAGCGGTAGGTTTTCTTTTGGCAGTGAAAATGGCTCAACGTCCCGCACACACCTTGCACACACGGATTAAAGAATTATAGGAAGGGCATTAATAAGTCTGAGCTGAAGTGTGTGTGTGTGTGTGTGTG